CGTTATTTTATTTTATTGAAAAATATATAGTTTTAATATTTTTTCGCTAGTGCGAGTTTAATAGAGGATTGGACGTACAAAATTTGGCATTAAAATAATTTATAAAAAAATAAAAATAAAATAGTATAGAGACATGACATTGTGATTGGAGCAATCTTAGCTCTCCATTTAAACTGGACAGTTGGATAAAGGGAAACATATAAATTTTATGTTGTAGCCCTAAACAAGGGGGTTTATTTGAAGATTGGATATTGGAACCATTATTTCAATAAGAGAATAACAAAGTTAGCATTCTTTGTTGAGTGTGGGCTCGGTTCAGAAAAGTAACGTCAGTATGTAAACAACAACTCCTTCAAATATTCAAAATCCAAAGTCGTGAAAACAAAAAAAATCCTAAAATTGAAAAAAAGTATCGACTTTTTAGTCAAAACCTCCTAAAATTGAGGACAAACCATCCAAACTTTAGCTTCTATTGTCGGATTTAAGCCTTCACTTCCATGGTCAAATACTTTCAAGGTAAGAACTAAAAAATACTCTTATTATAATTAGAGTAATGATCTTATGAGTCCTTCTCGCACTTATGAGTGTAAGATTCCATAGGATTCCCATTAAATTTGAAACAGATCTTTAAAAAAATTAAATCTTACACTTATATGATATTTTTTTTTAGAAATTTATATCAAATTTAATGGTGATCATTTAAGGTCCTACACATGGGTATGGGAATGTCTCATAAGATCATTACTTTTTTTTTAATGTTAATTATAAGAGTAATGATCCTATGAGACTATCTCACACCTATGTGTATAGGACCCAAAAAGATCACCATTAAATTTGATACAGGTTTTTTAAAAAGTCAAGCCTCACACCCATGAAATAATTTATTTTAGAGATCTATACCAAATTTAATGATGCTCATTTGAAATCCTACAAATAGATGTAGGAGGGTCTCGTAAGACCCTTACTCTTCCAAAAAAAAAAAAAACTCAAAAATAATTCTTTATAATACTATTTGTCCCCGAGAGAAAATCCTTAAGGAGTACGCTAAACCAAAAAAAAAAACTCAAAAAAAAATCTTTATAATACTATTTGTCCCGAGAGAGAATCCTTAGGGAGTACGCTAAACGTGCTCGAAAAGGACCTCTGATTTTCTTTTTATTTCATCTTAGGACACATGCATCTTGAGTGAGGAGCATTTAGTTGTGGCCCCTTCTCAGGATATAACTGTGGCTCTCTCCCACTACACTCTCTCATGCTGCTGTTCTCTGTTTCGCTCTCTCATACTGCTTCTCTCCCTCCCTCTCTGTTTGTCACGAATGGGCTCTCTTTAGGTCGCTCGATTTGTTCCTTGACTCTGTATCCCTCTCTCTCATCAAGTCGCTCTGTCTTCCTAGCAAAGAAAAAGAATTGTGAGCAGTTAGAGAGATAAGGAAGGAAGAAAATGTACAAGAATCGCCTACAAGAGCTCTGTCACCAAAAGAAATGGAGTTTCCCAAACTACTCGACCTCAAGAGATGGCCCTGATCATAATCCTCGCTTCAGCACCTCTGTAACTTTGAACGGACTCAAATTCGAGAGCCCCGTTTTTTGCAGGAGCTCTAAGGAATCTCAGAATGAGGCTGCCAGAGCTGCCTTGGAAGCTCTCACTATGCCCCAAACCTCCCATTTATTATCTTATTCTTCAGGTAAAGCTCTAACAGTTCTTCCGTAAAATTTGTTTCTTTTTCATTTCTAAGGTTTATTTGTGTTCTAATGCTGCTGAAACTGTTTCTTCTCTGTAATTTCCAGGGTTTCTACATGAATTTCGACATAAATCACATTTGTGATTTGTTTGCTATGAATGCTCTAATTTATAGTTAATCTTGATATGTATAATAAGCAATCCCTAGTTTCACGAGGGGATTGCTAATCTCACGCATGTTTTTGGTGTTCCATCCAAAATATGGGTAGAAATAGTAGAAAACAAACTGCTCGGTATTACCAGGTTGGTTTCAATGTCCACACACCTATGTCGGGTGTGAATAGCAAAAACATGGATTTGTAAATTGCGAAATCAAAAGAGCCATAGATAATCTGTGTTTATAATAATTTCCTTGTATCTATCCATGTTTTTGCACTTCCTACCCTAGAACTGGTGGGAAATTAAGAACTAGTACTTCCACCTCCTTTCTGCCTTTTGGCTGGGAATGGCAAAACATGGGTGAGAATGACAAGCCCTTTTTCTATCTCCCCAAAAAAGAAAAAACATTATTCATTATATGATTTGTTTTACGTAAGTGAATAAAAGATAAAAAGTTCATACATAAACCACATTATAATTCATTAATGTGATTTATATGTTTCTCAATTGTGACGTAAATTTGTTGTTTTTGTGCATCAGTTGTGGAGGCAAGTGGAGTGTCTAGAGTCACTTCCCCACAACAGCAAGACAGAGGTCTACGTGGTCTCTCAACAAATATGAGTGAGAAATGTGATGTTTCCTCTCCTCACTGTGGTCCCTCGACAACTATGAATGAGAAATGTGATAACTTGCCTCAACCATGTAACCCATCTTCTTCATTGGATCCTAATGGCAAGGAAATGAAAGAAACACAATCATTAGAAGGTTCAAGCTTGGGGTCTTCGGAGAATACTTTGATTTCATTGAACGTTGATGATGGTATGGAAATGAAAGCTTTGGGTTACATTTCAAAGCTGTGGGTGCTTGGATTTTATTTCTCTTATGTCTATGATGTTTGGTTTTATATTAAGAAGCTTATGGGTGCTTAGGATTTTTTTCTCTTATTAATTATGATTTAACTCATATGATGTGTATTGTAAAACTATAATAAGAACATGATTTAAATGAAAGTGCATCAACGTGTCTGTCATTATTTTGTAACAACTGTAGTACATTGTCATTCCTTTTCTATAGCTCTGCCATGTTTAAGACAGCATAAATTTCATACACGCATGAATTCAATGGCATTAAATTTTGATTTCTTACATGTTTTTAGAATTTTTTTAATTACACTTCTTAATATGCTTCATGGTTCTAAAAAACAGGTGTGGAGCACGTGCATTTTGCTAGTTTGCAATTAAATGTTCAGGGTTGGTTTATTCATGTGCATTAATTTAATTATTTGTATGCAAATTTCTCTGCTATTGAGTGTCATCTCTTGTGAGAACAGGCTTCTTTTCTTCTCTCATGGATTCTTGTAATCTTCTAATTTGTTTTATTCTGCAGTAACCTTCCTTTCTTTGTTTTAGAGTGCTGATAAATTTTCTTTTAAGAAGGATGGCTTCATGGATCATCAGGTTATCATTTTCATAACTGACATGTATTTTATGGGATGCCACTGTAAAGGCATTAATTGTGATACGATGCAGTTTTTTAATCTTGGTAATGGCATTTGTAATCTTACCTGTGTCCAGTGTGGCACCTATGCAGCATGATTTAGCAGTTATTTCATGGAAGTTTTTGTTCTTTTACATTTATTCTTTTAGGTTTGGCTCTTCATGTTTCCATGTTTATGCTAGATCATCTTCCCCGGTATTTATTATGGTTTCGTGCTGATTTCTCTTGATGGCAGGTGGAAAATATCTATACAAGAATCTGCTTCAAGAGTTTGTGCAAAAGAGAGGTCTGGATATGCCTATTTATTCTTGTGTTGGAGAGGGTGTAGACCATGCTCCTCGTTTTAAGGCTATAGTCACAGTTGATGGCCATACATTTGATAGCTCATCATTTTTCAGCACATTACGGGAAGCAGAACATGCTGTAGCGAAAATTGCTTTGACATCGTTGTCATCGGGAGAGGATATTCAACAGGTGGGCATTTGGAGTGGTTATTTGGTCCATAGATGAGTCATTTTCTTTGTTTGGATAAGCAGTGCCATCACGTATTTTACAAATGACTAGTACGCCTTCATTGATTTGCGAACAACAACATCTATAAGAGTGTTACATAGCATTGACATGCGATAAAAAGTATTGAGAGATACAAAGCAAATGCATTCGTTTAAAGTTCCCTATTTGAATGGAGACAACACGGTGTAAATTCAATTATTTTGAATCTTAGAATTATTAAAGCTTTACATGTAGGGCTAATCCAAGGGAGTAGTTCTGACTATATTCTTTCATCTGTGACTTCTCTCGTTAATGATATTGTTACCATTATCAAGAATCGAAATTCAGGGGAGTGCAATGATTTGACCAAGGTTCAAGTCCTCTCTTCATCAAAGAGAGAGAAATTTGAGCCCTTCTTGAACCGACCGTCTCTAGTTGAGGAATTAACGGTTTATTCCTATGGGACACCAGGAAAGGACAAGAGAACTTGTCGATCTCCTGATAATGAAAGAAAAGAAAGAGTAGGTTCCCTGCAACTTGATTTCAAGGAATGTCTAATTTAGCAATGGTCCTGATATCAAGCAACAAAAATTTGAGTAGGTGTCTCAATAAAAGAAAAAGATTGCTTAATTGTTTTATGGTAGACTTGTATCTGTTCTATTAAATGTCGCAAAATCTAAGTACTGCATATCCTTGTTGCAGGATGAATCGCCTTTATGTAAGAACCTTTTACAGGAACTAATGCAGAAAGAAGGCCTTCCCATACCGGAGTACAGGACAGCAAGATCCGGTGCTCCCCATTTACCAACTTTTTTTTCCACTATTGAAGTGGATGGGGAGGTTTTCTCCGGAAAAGCAGCAAAAACTAGAAAAGAGGCAGAAATGAGTGCAGCTAAAGTTGCTTATTTTAGATTCAACGAACGTATAGAATCTTCCTATAATCATTTTCTACATTATTAATACTTTATGAGACTCATTCTTTGTTTAATTGGTTTCAACCTTCCCTGCCAACTATGATTTAAAACTAATGGTTACGATTATAGTTTGCAAACCTGACTGGGTGACCCAGACTTGCCCAGGTTTACTAGGCCAGGTCTCAAAGCGGGTCAAATTGGGATTTACTGGCTAGCCATCACTAACTCTTATAGACATGGCTGACCTGACCAAGTCTAATTGTGTATCTGATCTGCATGGGTCTGTTGACCGAGTTGAATTAAAAAAAAAAGAGGATTAATTTGTTTAACAGGCACTTTAACTGTAACAAATTAATAATATCGCGTTAGTATAACATAAATAATAAACAAATTAAAAGATAATAGATATATAACATGAAATTCTCTCAATTTTTGAGGATAATTTTCCACAATATCTATTTCTCTTACAAAATTCTAAACAATCCTATGTGTGACTACACCAGGCTGACCTACCAATTCCTGGGTTGACCCAACCTTGTGACTAACCAAGTCCTGGTATGGGTCCAGGTTTGTGAACTATGGTTATGATCTTCTTATTTAAAAAATTTATGAATTTTCCTGAAGAAAAAAGCCAGTCTATTAAGCAAGAAAACCAGCATATCTAGAGATGCAGACAAGACCAAATTGAATTTTTAAAATTATCAGAAAAAGATTCAGGTATCATCACAATTGAAACATTGGGGTAACTTAAGCCCTGTTGTTTAACTTGGGTTCTGCTTGGTTAGTATAACCATACTTTTAAAGTGTATTTTAAGTTTTAAAGCAAATTTAAGTAAACTTTCATTTACATCACCGCTGGTTTGAAGGACTGATTTCAAGCTCCTTTTACCTCTGAAAGTTCATTGCTAGTCTCTGAACTTTCAGATAAGAACATCTTTTTTTTCATATTTTACTTATCAGAAAATAAATATTACCTTCTTCACAGGTAAGTCGAGCCAAAACCAAAACCTGCAAAGCCTTTCTTCAAGTTGCATGGTGGAGGTTCCTACATGTAGCTCTAATGCTCCATCCACCTCTGAGATGGATACTGAAGCCCCTAATAGTCCTGTTAAATGTCAACCTACTACAAGTGAGGCTGCAACGGTGAGCAAGATGAATCTGGAAAACCAGTCCTTAACTCATTGAACTGTGGATAAACATCTTCCATTAATGTATTTTAAAACAATGGATGGTGATGGAGAGAGTGGTGGGTCCATGCTCTCTCCTTCACAGTCCATTATTTGATCCTTTGCTGTCCATTATTTGTTTCGATGGTGATGACCCCAATGGCTAGAAATATGCAATGGTACATTAGATTATGGTTATAGTTGCGTAAATAAATTGCTAGTCAACTAACAGTGACACTTAAAAAGTTTGAACTCCATGGTATCTTATCCATGACTGGCTCTTTCTACATAAAAGGAAAGCCAAACATTTCATGCTTCCAAGGGAGTATACCGTGCATATCCCTTGGGTAAAACCCAATTTAGGAGTATTTTTAGGATCCCAAATTAAGGGGATGTAACCTTTTCAAACCATATCATCATCATCATCATCATCACCATCATCATCATCATCATATGCTATAACTCAATTAAAAAAAAAATGCAAATTGCATTCTCTATGGGCTTGAAAAAATAATACCTCAAGATGGAATAGAAGCTGTCCATTTTTTGATGTATGAGATCTAAGTGTTAGAAAACTCGAAATTCAAAATTTTTCTTTTGAATATAATCATCTAGTGATTTTTAGGTGTTCCCAAAATTTCGGATCAAAAAAGTTTTTCCTAGTGTCATCTTTGCCCGAGGGAGTAAGTGTACATCTCCCACAGGAGTATAGTGCATATGTTCTAAAGAAAAAGCATATCTACATGCAGGTCCATTTAAAAGAAGTCTAACATAGTGTCAACCAAAAAAAAATAAAATAAAAAAATTTGTATTGAGCACCCAGTGAATGGGTTGCCAACTCTTCTATTTCGCACGTTGTATACTCTCCTTTCATATAAAGTTAACACTTAAAAAAAAAGAAAAAAACAGAGAGAGAGAGAGAGAGAGAGAGAGAGAGAGAGAGAGAGAGAGTAGTTAGTATATACACGTATAGTAGTAGTAAGTAGTAAGTAGTACGTACCGTCGTACTACTACTACTAACTAATAGTAGTTTGGTTTAGGTTTAGTAGGTACTTAACTTT